ACTACTTAAGAGATCTGGGGAGGGTGTAGGCCAGTGGATATCGCCAAAACTAACATCCTTCGCGCAACTATTATGGAATCATGAACGGTGTGGGCTGTAGCTCCGTCTTGTGGAGCCACATTTCTGCTCTGTTAATCCGTAGGGTTGCAAGTTGTGGCTGCAAAAAATTGGACAGCATTGCAAAATATCATTGAGAGCTAAAAAGTTAAAACACTAACAACTAAAAAAAAGTAAGGCGCAATGATTCCCATTTTCAAAACTCCACACTAAACAGCCAATTTCTTACTGTGTAGTGGTTTTTGGTGAATTTTTTTTTTGTTTTCTGCAGCTCAATAGCAGCAGTTTTGCTTACTGACATGACCTTCCAATTGAAAGTGCGCTTCAGCAGGCTTCAGGAAGGACCATTCCTCTATCTACATGATCAACACCCTAAGAATAATTGTTGAGCGATGCTCAGAATACCAGTCATCGGTCTATTTGGCCTTCGTGGATTTTGAAACTAGGCATTCAACTCTATCACCAGGGATTCCATTTGGAAAACACTGCATGAGTTCGAAGTGCCGACAAAAATCATCAACCTCATCAGAGTATTCTACGAGAACTACAGATGCCAAATAATCCATGAAGGAATACTATCTGAACCATTTGAAATTGGAACAGGAGTTAAACAAGGCTGCTTACTGTCACCAATAATTTTCCTCGTGGTTCTAGACAAAGTAATGAGGAGAGCAACGAGTAGGTAGAGGGGCTTTGAGCGGAGTCTGACGTACAGGTTAGAGGATATTGATTTTGCCGATGATTTGTGCTTGATATCTCATACACTAAAATATATGAAAGAAAAGCTTGAAGACCTTAACACCCATGGAAGGAAGGTCGGCCTCAAAATAAACTTTGAAAAAACAAAAGAAATGAGAATCAATGCAAGAGACAATAATCCTCTGGAAGTGGGCCATTGAGCAGGTGGGCCAATTCAATACCTTGGAAGCACTGTGTCAAAGATGGGGGGCACAGATGAAGACGTAGCCAGTAGGATTTGGAAGGCCAAAGGGGCATTTACACAATTGACACCAGTTTGGGGATCAAATCAGATACATAGGAATACCGTACTAAACTAAGAATAATTTAAATAAATGTTAAATCCGTTCTCTTGTATGGTTTGCCAGACATGGAAAGTCACCAAGACAGTCACCAGCAAGTTGCAGGTCTTTATAAACAAATGTCTCGGCAAAATTTTCAACATCCATTGGCCACAAGGAGTAACAAACGAAGAGCTAATGAGAAGAGCGCATTAAAGCCCTATTGGTGAAGTCATCAAGAAAAGGTGAAGTTTGCTTGGATAGACCACAATCTAAGACGACCAAATGATAACATCAGCAAACAAGCTTTAAAGTGGAACCCCTAAGGAAGCAGAAAACGGGAGGACCAAAGATAACTTGGAGGAGGTCTATCGAGAAAGAGATGGAGGAGGAAGGCAAGAACTGGAGAGAAGTAACGCAGCTGGCCCAGAACAGTGTACGGTCGAGAGCTTTTGTTGCGACACTACACAGGAATATAGGAACTAAGTCAAGTAGGCTAAGTCAGTCATAGGCTAGCCTACTCCTTCTGTTTTTATGAATCCACTCCACTTAGAAATCTCTCCGACAGTCGGTTTTTATCAGCAAGATTCCTAATAGGCTGTAAAAGAAGGGTAAAATTACAAATCTAAGGTTCATTGAGCGGTACTGATGGTAATAAGTTATGGTGTGATCTGTACAGGTCCGTATGTGGGCTGAGGACTGAGTGAGGAGAGCAAACAGCTGTTTTATACTCAAATTAATGCGGAATGAAATCAATTTGTTCTTAAACAAAATAATCAGCTCTTATTTAGGTTAGGCATGTGGGGAGGTCAGGTTTTATGCGGATTCGTCACTGTATTAAAAATGTTTTTAAGTTAGGTTAAATTAAGGTAAAGTTTAACGATACCGTAGTCAAAGGTTTAACTTAACTTAGGTTAAATAATAAACCAACACTAATTTATACTACTTCCAGACTGTTTTTGCACTTTTAAATTAAAATAGTGGGTGAAACACAAAAGCATTTTTGACAGGTAGGCTAGATACCGTAGTTAATTGTTTAGCCTATTCATTGTGTTTCACCCACTATTTCAATTAAGTGCAAAAACAGTCCAGGAAGATAAATTAATGATTCGGTTCATTATAACCTAAACTTAAATTTACCTAACTTTATCTAACCTATCTTAGGCCCCAAATACATTCACAAAACCGCAAAGTCCGACTTATCTTCCTTACATGTCTTTTCTGTCATCAAATGGAATTTTGAAAATTTGAGTGAGGTTGGGTTGGGTTAGGTTAGGTTAGATTAGCTTAGCTGAGCTTTTAAAATTTAATATAAAAGGGATTCAGTAATAACTTCCTTACTGCAGTCCATGCCTTTTTAGTTAGGGCTAAAGAAACTATTTTGACTAATCATGGAATCTCTTCTTATTATGTTAGAGTTTCCTTATTACACATGTAGGCCTAATAATTTATTAGTTGCTGATAAATTAGATGAAATTATTCACTATGCCGCGTTTTCACTGTTAGGCACTGTGGAATTATGCACTATGGCAGTTAACAGATGTTGAGGGTTTAAAAATGAGGACGATTTGTCGTTATTGAAGTGGCAGTAGCATAGCCTCTATTCCATGTACTGTACGTATTTTGTACGAGAATAAATTCCATTTTTTTAACTAATAAGTTAATTGTTGATTTGATTAATAAGTTTAGTTTAAGTTAACTCAGAATGTAACTTATGTACTTATTGTTGGCCTAACTTAGTCGAGTTACTGTATTTTCAAAACGGGATCAGAGTATTTTGCTTTACAAATCAATTTGATGTACATGTAAGTTACCTAGGCCTATATAGCCTATTGTTATTGCTATTTTGCTTTCACATCATTGTGTCTGGTTAATTGTTTCTTTTGCATCGAACGTAAACAACTAACCTAACAGTTGTTTCCACTTCACATACCGTACCTTCCTCCCCTTTATGTAACTACCGGTGTGTTAAGTTAGTCCCCGCTACAACTTGGACTCGCCCAAACCACCAATATCTTAAAATAGGTAACAAAAAAACTGATGCTTGATATTCATAATTTAATTTTACGGCCACTTAGGAATCTCTCCACGACAAAACTGATTGCATTTATGGATTCAGCGTGAAAAAACTGTACGGTAATAACTTATCAAAGATACATTTTTCTCAGTGTAGACACAACTTACAGAATAATGCCCACAAGGTTTAAAGAAAATTAAGTTAGCCTAAACTTAGGCCTTCTTAAGTTAGAAAGTAGTGCCTACAAAGGCTATTGTATAAATGGTGTTACCGTGTATAAATAAATAAATAAATAAAGGAACAATTTCCATTTCAAATGCTGAATTTTAAAATAGGAGGCTAAAATAAACCTCCACAAAAACAATAGATAAGCACATAGGCCTATGCCTTGAATATATTCATCCAAAATTGTTATTAGGCGTCAGAGGTTTAAGACTTAGGCTATTGAAAAGAGTTGGCCTAGGTCTAGGCCTACCGTAAGTTATGATATGATTTTAACAAAAGTCATTGCATATCAGATCAATAGGATTGAAAGTAACTTAGGCTCGTGTTTAAAGTGACGCTGTCAATCCCACATTGTGGGTAAAAGACGAAGAAGGAGGTATTAAGGTATTAAGGCTTTTGTTAGCTTATTGTTTAATAAGCCTATTTTTACTTGGCACATTTTTGGCAAAAACGTTGGAGTCGCATATTAACCCTCCGAGTGTCCCTTGTTTTGGCCTTAATGTCTGCCTATTTTTTGCTCATTTGCAAGGTTTTATTAAAACGGATCTGAGAAGCTTGAAAACAATGTTAATTATACTGTTCTATACCATTTTGTTTGGAAAATCATGGGCTTCAATATTATACATAGAACATAAGGAACATTTGTTTCAAAAAAAATTTTTTAGTTAAAAAAAATATATTTTGGAAAATTTAAAAAAAAAAAATAAGTTCGCGCTCAATGAAATTGTATAAATTATAGGCCTATAAATATTTGAAAATACCCACTTTGTTCTAAATTTTATGAGGATTACAAATATATAATAATATAAGGAAGTAGATTTGCAAATAAATAAGTTATGGGCAAAAAACTGATTTCAGTACATAGCGTTTAGCTAAGAATGCATAGCCTAACCATAGCTAGGAATCTGGCTGATAATTTACATCAATATCACTACCTACTTCTTCAGGATCATCAACCAGCCCTTCAAAATCACTTAAATCTTCTTATAATGCACCAAGTATATCACTACTTTTGATTTTTAACACTAAAACAATGATAAACGTAATAAAACACATCAGTCATCGGTCCGAGGTTAACCGAGCTGTTTACAAATACGCACATCAGCTGTCTGCTACAATATTTTCGGAACTAAAATGAATAGCGCTTAGAGACAGACCTCTGGAGAAAGCTCTGAATCTGTCAAATAAAACGATACCTAACTCAATCCAGTTCAATCCGATTTTGTCAGTCATAGAGCCTTCGCCGTAAACAGTGTTTATGAGTCGCTGCAGCGACAAATAACACTCGGAGGGTTAAAGGTTGTTTAGAATTTGCTAGCCAGGCCTAGGCCTAGACAGAGAGTTTTACTGGCATAGGCCTAACATTGAACAACCATCCAAAGCCCCAAATAACTTATCACACTTTTAATGTTTTGAGTTAACTAGGCCATAGCAAATTAGGATATTAAATTAAACTTATTGTAGTCTACATTCATCAGAGAAGTTTTGGGCCAAGGCCTATTAGGAGGTAAGTTGGGTGATCATCGTTGACATGGGTTTTCTTGTCAGACTTACGTCATGTAGAACTAATAAATAGGCTAATAATAAGACGTTTGCTCGGGGTATAAAGTTATGAAACATACGTCCTTAAACTCAGGTAAACCAGTATTATTGACCTATAACAAAGCAAGTTTAAAACGTACCTTAGAAATCAGTTCAATATCCTCGGAACGGTGATCAGTTTCTAACCTGTATTGACCAAATCCCGATTGCAACACCTTTCATCAACAAAAAAACATTGTAGATTCAATTTTGAGACACATTTCTTATGCAATTAAACAAATAAAATATACGTAAAAAGGAGGACATTCACCGACGCCCTGTAGGCCATAAAAAATTACAAAGGACCACCAACAAAGTGTACTAACTAAAATGGCGTATGTAAAAAGAAAGAATAAAATAAAGATGTTTGGTAATGGCCAGGATGACCATCCCACGAAATACAGAAAACCAATTTACAAAAAATTAATTTAACTTATGTGTACTATACAAAATACACTATATTGTTTCGGATTTATAAAAGTCGCTACCCAGAGCCCATACTTAGAAATAATTTCAAGTTATTTTTCAATTTCAAATTAAAACATATCAATCATCTGCGTTTTGATCATTTATGATTAGCCACACCACAGGTAGCATGATAAAAATGTAATTCATAACCACTGAGCTATAATCTATTAATCTCAATGTGTATAACATGGACATTGTCTCTTCTCTCTCCAGTGACAGTCAAACACGTGGGTTTGCGATAAAAACGTTATAAAAATTGCTGATGGCAAGACATTCAACAAAAACTTCAAAGTGATACAAAACAATTGTGAATGTACGTAGTATTTCCAATTTTATGGTTCGGATAAATGTGTGCACACATAGGACCACTATGGGATATCTTGCATATCCTGTCGCAATATCCGTGGGATGTCCTGAGGAGAAAGTGTGCTGTCTGGGTGGACGCACGCGTTGTCAGGGTGGCGTACACTCCAACCCGTTATTAATTTTTGGCCGGATAGTTACGCTTGAAGGCAAAGCGTAATTATCAGGCTGAAGTAGATGCTGCTAAAAAGCTGCATTCTGTACATAAAATTGAGCGCTCAAATAAAAAGTGTAAGGCAGCTTGGTGTGTCATAAATGAATCAAGAAAGTCAAGAGCAACCATTAGTAGTCAAATAAGCCCTGATGAATTTAATTCCTACTTTGTAAGCACTGTAGATGGCATTGTTAATTACATGAAACCTGACAGTTCTGTTGCTGCTCTAGCGTGCCTGTGGCACAACATGATCTTGTGAAATGGAGACCCACAACTTCAGCAGAATTTATTATAGAATTACTAAGAGCTTTTCAAACTCTTAAACTCTTACTCTTACTCTTACAGTCTAGATATACATGGTCTTACACCACACATCTTGAAGCATATTGAAGCTGTTGCTCAACCCCTCTGTAAGGCTATAAATGGCTGTCTGTCAACGGGTATTTTTCCTGATTGCCTTAAAATTTCAAGAACTGTTCCTATCTTCAAGAAAGGAGATGTAAACGCTGCATCAAGCTATAGACCAATATCCATCATTCCCTGTTTGGTTACAATACTTGAAAAAAATAATGCAAAACCAAATTGTAGACTATTTTGAGACCAACCATCTTTTCTCAAATTCACAACATGGCTTCCGTATAGGAAAATCAACCGCTACTGCTCTCATCTCCCTAGTGAAAGGAATATAAAATGCTTTTGAGGACAAGCATATTCCATGTCCATTCATTGTCCTATGTGATCTGTCAATGGCGTTTGGCGTTGTCTCCCACAGTATTCTTCTTCAGAAGCTGGCTCGATATGGGTTAGGTGGGACTGTGCTCAAAACACTAGACTCCTATCTTTGTGAGAGGAGCCAGATGGTGGCTATACAGGGGGCTCTCTCTGCTCCAGCTAAGATGGACCATGGTGTCCCGCAGGGATCGATATTGGGGCCTTCATTGTTCGTGATCCTAATGAATGACCTCGGTAGGAATGATGAAACCCTCCTATACGCCGATGACACAACCCTCTGTGGCAGGGGACAACACCCTCTTGAAGCGGCAGCTAAATCAGATGAACTGTTCAATAATATGCAATTAGCTGGTTTGGTTACAATGGCCTTATAAGCTAAATGAAGCCAAAACTCAAAAGCTTCAACTAACACTCAGCAAAACCTCTCCATCTCAAGACAGCCAGTAAAACTAATAGGGTTTGTCTTGGATCCCAAGTTACAATGGGACTCCCACGTTGATTATGTGTGCCTTAGGCTTAGGCGTGTAATTTTTCTTCTTAGAAAACTCAAACATCAAATCACGCAGAAGTACCTCATGACAATATACTTCTCATTATTCCATAGTCATATAAATTATGGAATCTTACTCTGGGGCCACTCATCAGGGTGTATCCGTATACTGAAGCTACAAAAACAAGCAATAAGAATTGTAACTGGACGTAAGATATCTCAGCCATGTAAACCCATCTTTAAACAACTTAACATATTGACAGTATACAACCAATATATATTCAGTTGCCTGCTTCATATAAAATCCAACTTGGCATCTGCATGAAAATAGAGGGGAACAGCATGATCACCATGATCACAACATAAGGGGGGCAAACAAACTCAACACAACTAGGTGTAGGCTAGCAATGACGAGAGATAGTTTCCCGCAGGTTGCTGTTAGATGTTCAATGCCCTGCCGAAACGTTTAGTAGACATTGAAGATAAGGTTTTTACCAAGAACTTAAAGGAACTTCTCCTAACAAACCCATTTTATTCAATTAATGGATGGAATTTTTGAAAACTCGACAACACTGTCGCTAGAATAAGCATCCACCGCCAATGCGCAGTCAGTATAGTCAGTATATTTTAAATATATGTTTATTTATTTGTAAATAGTAGTTTTGTAAGGGGTTTGACGCTATCTATCCGGCCCAGGCTGGTCAACGATGAAGAGGAGGTATTTAGGGTATTTATTTGGTTATATCGAGTAGGTATATTTTGGTGGCGGGTGGTTGCCTTTGACCGAAACACCAAAGTGGCGTTATCTTGATGGTGGCCACGGCCACCTTTAACCGGAGTTTAACTCCGGAGTTAAAGGTGGCCGTGTGGCGACTCAATTTTTGACACATTTTTTTCATACTATATTATTGTATAGCAATAATATACTGTATTATGTATTATTGTAAGTTTTCGAAATAAAATGTATAACAAATTAGATCACTGTGTTACATTATTTCTTATTAGTTCGTTTATCAAATACAATAATTAAGTAAAAACATAAATAATAATTTGTAATTTAATTTCTTTTGTAACGTAAAAATACTAATCACGAACACATGAATACTAACTTTCGCAGGTTAATTTATTTTCTTTATTTGAATACCATAAAAAATCAAGCACAAGCAAGGTTTCATAATCAATGGTTCAGACTCGAAGTCGTTTCGATTAATTGCTCTCCTTCGGCTTTCCTAAACTTGGTTGAGCGTAAGGTATTATTTTACATGTTTGTTTACATGCTTCCGGTTCCATAAAGCAGATGAAAATTTACCACCTCAATCTCAAAACCCAATTGAAGACATTACAGTAAGCGTATATTACTGTTGTTTCCTACTACATTTTTCTGTTTTATGTATTATGATACTAATCTTCTCAAAATTGCAATCAAGGTGGAAGAAAACTAACTCTTATTAATAATAGTGTGCTTGGTATTCAAGACAAAGCCAAGAAACTACTTAGGCCTAGGCCTACTACAATTCAACTATCCGGCAGAGGAAAAAAAGTAAGTTATGTATCCTAAGTGTAATACTTTAGTACTATTATTGGCTGCACTCATTTGAATGAAAATATTGATTATTCGATTGTTTCATTCGATATATATCGTTACCTGTGGCCCTTACCTAACTAACCAAACGATATATCGAATGAAACAATCGATTAATCGATTTATCGATCGATATTTTCAATCGAATGAGTAGGACCTAAAGTAAAGTGCAGCCCTATTATTTTTTTATCCATAGGTATCATTCTCGGTAAAACTTTAATATCCGACTTCATTCTTGAACATATGGTATCGATATGTTCTTATCGGGCTTATGGTATGCTAAGTTTTCTAGATTTGCTATTAAAATGATGAAATTGCCTAATTTGGTGTAACTTGCAATGTAGGGCCTACATTTCCTATAAAACTTAGCATGGTTGTTTTAAATAAGTTAACCTAAGTTAAAAATAACTAAAAAATAACTTATTAATATCCACAGCATCTAATTTACTGATTATTAAATTCATTATTAAATTCATAGGCATAACTTAGCATTCACATTTCGTTTCATGTCCCCAGTTGAATTAGGTCAGATTATGTACATGTAAGTAGACAATTTTATATACAGTTTGAATGGTTGACTTACTTCATTGAAATATTTATTTACTACAGGTTTCGTAATTAAAACAATTTACTTAGTTACTCTAGGGCCTTTTCATTACTTTACAGTGCCAGTACTTAAAATAAAAACTTTCTAATTTGTAGGCTTAATGATCGCATTTACAGAAAATAACGCGTCATCTCTCGCAGTACTTAAATCTGCTTGTTTTTGTTTAGAGTGTTAGGCCAATAAAAGCATTTGCGCTGTTGATTCCACCCATAGCCCAGTGGTTTGCATGTGATGCGCTATGGCCCTCGGAGATGATTGCGCCCCTCTCCACCTACCTTGAGGGTAATGTTTTTTCTCCTTGCGCCCTCAACAAACTTAAAACCTCTTGAACCCTTTGGCCCAGGCCCATCGGGCGCATTTATAAAAACGGCCCTCTACATATAGACAAGGAAGTTTTTAGCTAGTCAGGATATAGTGTTTAACTTATGGAGCGGTCAACTTTGGTATTGGGAGTGGATCGGTGGATGTTTAGGCTAATAACATTTGTGCAGTTTCAAGTTCTAGGTTAAGTTTGTAGTGTTACTTTACATATGGTTGAAATGAATTAGCGGTTCCCAATTATCTTATCATGGAACCCCATCATCATCCTGGATTTTTTAATGACCCAACAAAATAACAGCACTCTTGACTGGTAATCGTTAGGAACAGTTCATCTTCAACAATCACGCAAACTATGTAGTTAACGTCTACAATCGCAATACTAGTTTGAGATTTTCGTTCCAAATAATCCCAAAGTTATTTAAAATCCACCTTGAATCATGAATAATAATAGCCGTAATATTCAAGTGATTTTATATGCCGGTAGGTACCCTAGTTTAAAGCAAAAAATAACTGTTTAGTTGTGAATACACTGAAGATTCAAAAATGTCAGGTGCTACTGTATTTGTATCACCCTACCTGCCTGTTCGGGCAGAGAAAATTACCAAGTTTTTGG